CTCACTCTCCTCAGGGAGTTGGTGGTTGGTTTCCATTTGGTTGCAATTTACGTCTATTTGGCAGGGTTGAGGTGGAAAGAAGCCAAGCTTTTTTCTCAGGATGACAGTCTGGTAACAGATGTCTAATGTTTCCCAACACATTTAGCTCATGTGATGGGAATTGTGAGCTAGTTTAGTAAAGCTGAGCAGTTGGGTAATTGCAAACCTTTGCCCCTCACGTTTTCTCATCTATCCTTTTTTAGCTGCCTAGGTAAGATGAGTTTTTTTCTTTTTTAATTGTCATTAATTTTGTATTTGTAGCTCTGGGAGGAAAAGCTTGAAACGTGTTTCAGAGTAATCGTCGTCGTAGGAGACAGTCTCTCATTTAAACGGTTGGAAACCTCCAGCAGCGTAAGAAGCCACATGTTTTCCTCTCTCGTGTTCTGCGTAACAGGCATTGCCCAAATGCTTGGGCTGTGGCTTCTGCGCTGTTGTTTCAAAGCAGCAGCATGGGGACAACGGTGTTTACTCCTGATCCCCCCGAGTACTCTCGTTTCTTGCAGGTGGTGCCTGTCCATGCTGAAGAGGAGGCGGAATCGAAGCATCGTAATTAGCAGCTCCTTAGGAGCGGCTATTTTATTTGGAGGAAGAGAACGAGGTGATGGTCCTAAGCTCCAGCTCTTCTACAGGAGGTGTTTTTACGTGTTAGGGCAAGATCATTACAGAAAGCTAGGCATTGGACTGAGGTTTAAGTAGCTACCTCTGTCGTTCAGATTTGCTAGAACCTTTGGAGAAGAGCTTGGGAGATGCTCGCGTATGACCTAGATGTGAACATCTCCTTGTCTGTGCTGTTTCTTGACATCCCTTATGGAGAAGATATTTCTCCTTTTACCTAAAGGAGCGGACCACAAGCTCTGGCGGCGTCGGTTTGGTAAGGAAGGTGACGAAACCCTTTATCAATGAGCAGAAATGTCCCATTAAGAGTGCGTTGGGAGTCAATACCTGGCATCCTGGAAGTTCTCGTGAGACTGTTGGCCTTGATTTTAAAAGCTCTTTAATAAAAAGCAGACTTTTTGTTGGTTTTGCCTATTCGGATCACATATTCTCAGCATCTTTTCCTTTTGTGCACTTCCAGCTATGATTTTTCCAGACATTTCAGTCTGTGATAGCTGGGCCACGAAGCACCGTTACCAAAATACTTGAAGCAGGGCTCTTTCTTAATTACACCTAATTCAGCTAGTGTCAGAAAAACCCGGAAATCTCAACATAGAAAGCTTGAGCCAAGCTTGCACCTGTATAGCTCCAGAATGTCACAGAGTGGGAGTGTGCTCATAGAGTCATAGAATTGTCAGGGTTGGAAGGGACCTTAAAGCTCATCTAGTTCCAACCCCCCTGCCATGGGCATGGATACCGCCCACTAGATCAGGCTGCCCAGAGCCCCATCCAGCCTGGTCTTAAAAACTTCCAGGGATGTGATGCTGATTAGCATTCGAGCTCACCTGAGATGTCTTCCCAACATGCCTCTTCCCTATTAATTTAGGAATTTCGATCACCAGCTCTTCCAGAGGTCAAAAAAATGGTCTCCTTGTTTGAAAGTTCTCAGAGCGCTGGCATGTGTGTTTAGGATATAATGGCCTTTCTCATTAGATTAAGTGTCCGATGGGAAGAGACTGTGGCACCTGCAAAGAGGTGCCCAGAAAAAAAATACACCCTGACCTCCACGTGGATATTCTTCCCACGGAGGGCTGCATTTTTTCCACGATCCCTTGCAGAGACTTGGTCAAGCTGGCTCTACCAGGCATCCTCACCAGCGTTCGAGCGTAGCAGGATTCTTCAACCTGGTCCAGAGCTAAACATTTTCCTACAGGCACACCAATATTAGTTTTTAAACTACCTCTGCCTTTCTTTGCAGTGCCTTCCCAATGCCTTGGAAAGGTCCCTTTTCTTTTAGAGGTGATAAGACATCACATATGTTTTTCACTATAGCTTTGACCTGCAGCAAAACCTTGGGGGTTTCTGGTTAGGGAGTGGCACGCTCAAATTAAGGAAGTTGGAAAGACATTGAATTCATAGAATGGCCTAGACTGGAAGGGACCTTAGAGATCATCTAGTCCAACCTCCCTGTCATGGGCAGGGATGCCACCTCTTGACTAGACCAGGCAACACATGGGGACCGAGCGGGAATTGAAACCACGACCTCGATGTTGGTCCTTGTTGCCAGCACCGCGCTCAAACCACTGAGCTAACCGGCCCCTATTCATATTTTTGTATTTTAGAACTCAAGACGAGGATTATACCCTGATTTCTGTTTTGGGAGATGGCTTGGGAATATTTGCATTTTGATATTTTTTATGCGACTGGAGAGATTTATTCTTAAGCTTTTGCAGGGCTGGAGTGCTGTTAATTTTTAGGCATTTGATTTGAAAGTGTACTTTGACCTTTGTAGCTGGGAATAAAGCACAATTCAGATGTGGCTGTTGTTACCAAGCATGCAAAGGGCTTGCTTGCTTTTACACATTATTTCGGTTTCACTCTGTTTTTGGAATTCCTTTTGGGTTTTGGATGCCTGTTGCATAATGTCTAGAAAACTGCATCCAATTTGATTTGTATGCTTCATCGCACTTGTAGGTACTATCAAAGACAATGAGCCAAGAGATTTCAAAAAGCAATTGCAAAAATGCTGCAAGTACATTTTCTAAGCAAAATAATAAATGAACACTTTATTTTTACTTCCAAATCCATCAGCAGAGCTTTCAGCTCCTGCAACTCCACACACAAAGCGATGAAGAAATTGGGACTGGAGTGGAAAATCCCATCTACCGTTGAACTGAGGGATTTTCAGGAGAATTGATGGAATTTTCAGGGGCCAGGATTAGCATCCTGCTTGCCGTGCCAGCACCACACCACATCTTACATAGTTTTTGTCCTCTGACTTCACAGGATGTGAACTATACATCGTTCCTGTAGGACATGGCAGTCCTTCAGAATGAGGGGTATTATAGGGAAAAATCCATTTCCCATCTCTGTCCCACATGGTTTTGGAGACCCTAACCCTTCTGACACACTGCTGTTGGACATCCCTCATCCCCTACTTGCTCAGCTGCTGAGGCGAGAAGATGGGGTAGGTGGTCTCCTGCATCCCAGGGAGCAGGAGATGGCTTCCCAAGTCTTGAGCAGAGGTCATGTAGAACTTCTTGACCCCGAGTTTGACTGTTGAAGGGACATTTTGCCTGCTGGGATTTCATCTTCCTAGCAGTTCTAAAGCAGTAAAGGGGATTTAACCGACCTACACTTTCACTGTGGAAATGAGACCCGTCTCATTTCTGTGTCACCCCTAAAATGATGTGTCCGCTGGGATTTAGAAGGGAACGTATGGATAGGTCTTTCCTGTAGGACAGCTTTCCTAGTGACAGGTTTAGTATGCAACTCATGATGAGCATCAAGTGATCAATACACAGCTGTGTCACACAAGGTTATCCCAAGTTCAAAGCAGGCTCGGTGCTGATTGGTTTCCAAAATCGGATGCATCGGGCTGCTGTGGCCACAGGAGCAAGGTCACTGAGAGGATCTGGTGACAGTACGAATAATAAAGCAGAGCTTAAGTAATTTGTCCACAGCACGCCCAAGATAAAATTGGGCTTTATTTTGTTGGACTGGGGGCTTGATGATGTGACCTTTCACCTTTCTCAACACTTCTTTTTATTTTTCACCTTTCACTTCAAATTTTGTTTTATTTTTCCTTTCTCTCCCCCAATGTCATTGCGGCTTTAGGCAGACTAAAGAAGGTAGTTTGAAGGGAGTAAGTCGGTAAATCAACTCCATCCCGTTATTGAATTAGAGATAGGTGTCATGGACAAGGTACATTAAAAAGACAGACAAGTGGATGCAGAGATAAGATCGTGGCTAGCGTGATGGTTTATCTTTATGTTAACGCTGTCATGCATAAATGAAGCATCCAGGTGAAACAGCAGATTGCGATCTGTCTGTTAATTGACAGAGACTATGGCCAGAATTAAGCAAGCCAACTCACCCTTTGCACCCTCCATGCCTCTCTCCATAACCCCGTCAACGCTCTTTGCCCATACAAGTCAGTGTCACCAGCAGGCAAAGGTTCTGTGTGCATGGGGATTTCTCCAGCAGCTGAATGTCAAACTTTATTGAGTGGGTGGATCCTGTTCATCCATTTCCCCTCCGAGCCTTTCTAAAAATACCCTAAACCTTGACAAGGAGCTATTTTGGAGGAATCATGTTCATGAGGATGGTCATGGGAAGCTTATTTTGGCAGGCTTGCATGTGTTCAATTTGCATGCTTCCTTACTCAAGGGCTTGGTGAACTTATGTTGCAGCCAGTTGGACGTAGGCTTAAGAGAGAGCATCTGGATTTTGGGACCTCCTGGGTTGGGACGTCTACTCCAGGCGAGTTTACAGGAGGAAAAGAAGTGAAGATATTCTTACAGGAATGTTGCTATGTGACTGAAGTCATTCATTTCAGGCATTTGCACGCCAGCCTGCAGCTTATCGGATCTGATTTCATAAAACCTGGCTGTGATTTCTCTCCAGGGACCTTAATGATCTTGCCACTTTCAATAAACATTTATAGAAACTGCTGCCAGCCTGTGGATAAGAGAACCTCCTGTGAGAGACTTTATCTTCCAAAAATCTTTACAGACACCAAAAAAAAGCCAAACCAACAGACCCACTCGCAAGAAGAACAATAGGAAAATGTCAAAATGTAGAATTTGCTGGGTAGCTGGAGCTGAATTGTGGTACCAGACACTTGCGCTGTAGGCAGACAGTAGGTATGTTGGCTTTTCTCACTTGGACAGCCAGGCACTTTCGGAGCGATGCTATGACTGGGGCCAGCAAAACGATGAGTGTGACTAAAAGCAAACTGTAAGAAATAAGATGGAAATTAAGCAGGTAAAGGCTATTCCACGCTCATGCCATTCCAGTACGGTATTGTGCAGTACTCATGCGTGCACCTCTAAGAAATTTCCGTTTTTTCGCATAAAAAAATCCAGATACGAAGCCGAAGCTGCCTTCTTCGCCAACCTGAAACTCGCTGATTTCAACATCATTGACACTCTTGGAGTCGGAGGGTTCGGGCGAGTTGAGCTGGTAGGTAACCTTTTCTTCTTCAAAGCTTGCATGATATCCTAGAATAAGTACTGCGTTATGAGCTTTTTAATTTTTGTTGTTGTTGCTACACCCAAAAAAGTGGGAGACAATTATGTGATGGGATAATATGTATTTGTAATGGTTGAAGAGAGCTGAATTACGTTTCCCAGTAAATAAAAACGTACGAGTAAACGCTCTGCAGTAACCATGAAGTTTATATACTAAGTTGAGAGAGGAGCGCACATCTTGTCTCTCCCCCAATTTTATAGCAACCTAAAAAAAACCAACCCAAAAATTGTGTGGCTGTTGAGTGCTAAGGGTAAAAGAGCAACCTAAAATCTTGCTTAACCAAAACTGGAGTAACGGTCCGATGTCTCCTCTAAGCAGTTTCTAATTCGTGAACAGAAATAGTTCTAGTTGCTTATCATGAAAGGTCTATGTTCAGTGTCTGAACTTCACAGAAAACTACTTTTTTTTCACAGAATTTTAGAGAAAGGACAAGATATGAGCTTGCTTTTTGCTCTGCTTCGGTTTAGACCTCTGCAGTCTTTGTTAAAAAAAATAGCCTGAGAAGGAGGAGACTGAAACAACAGTGACCCCTTTGTAACGTCATGTAAATACGAAAACTGAGAATAGAAAGAGGGAGCTGAGTTGACGTCCTGGTGCTGACCAGAGAGGAGCTTCTGATACCAGACACTAGCACAGTGTGTTAGGAATTCCTCTAAGTTAGGAACAGAAAAGGGAACTCTTACTTCTGCCGTCATGAAACTTTGAGCACATCCCCGTTTCATAACCCTGCGGGAGACGAACACGATCGTAGTGCTGGGAATTGGAAAACGGGCAAAATGAAGTGGATTTGGTGATTATTTGCAAATTCTGCGTTAAAAGTGCGACTCGCCATGATTTATTTCTGGCTTCTCCCGTTCAGATGGTTATAAAATTGTGCAGAGGAGAACACGATCGTGAGAATGCCGGTCCTTTCCTGGGGTTGGGGTTCTTTCTTTATTTATTTATTCATTTGATATTAGCAACTGTTGTTTTGGAAGGGAGTCACAAGAGCTCACCCCGTAGCCTGGGGAGGCTGTCTTTTCCCCGCTCCTTCTATAGTCAGCTGCTGCTGCTGAAGCTTTAGAGCAGGAATTTAATTTGCATTGCGCTCAACCTCCCTTTTGAAGGCCCCTCACCCTCTGTTGACAACAGCATAAAGCTCAGGAGATTTGCCTCCTGAATTAGCATCACCACTGGCTTCTCTGCCTGAGGTGACCTGTAATGAGGGACCCACCACTTTGGGGCTTGTTTCGAATCTTGTGAAGGAGCGCGTGAGGTTCTTTTTCATTTTTAAGGCTTTTTTTTTTTTGGTGCCTGTCGTCAAGATGTTCCAAAAAGCTCGAGAGGTTCCTGGGAAGATGTGTGAGTTTGTCTTTATGAGGGGTTGTTGGTTTGGGTTTTTTTGTGAGACCCTCAAACCACACAGATATGAAAGCAAATTAAACTGTTACTGATGCCCTGGGCCAATCCAGGGTTAATTTGGAGGCTTCAGGGGTGAGTGTCGCTTGGCCAGGTGGGGAAGAACATGAGCAGACATGCTCAGTCACTTTGACATCGCAGTCAGGTATTCAATTCTTAGGAGATGCCCAAATCTCAGAACCCTTCAAGAAGCCTTGGTGCCACCTATGCAGCTGCAAATGGGAGAAACATTTCCAGCAGCTCGTAGGGGTTTTCTTCAGGGGTGGCTTTTAGACATTGCCAATGCTCTCCTAGGCAGGGAAATGTTGGTTAAGGTAATTTGCTGTAATTCTTAATACTGAATTACACACAGAAGGATGAAAGATATTTAAAAGTTTAGCTTAACACTCCAAATTTAATTTTTTTTCTTTACCGCCAGGGAAAATGTTGTTCTTAAAACAAGAAAATGTTCTTTTTTGTCAAAAAACCAAACCAAGGTTTGCTACCTCTTGCTTCTATCTTCTCCATGGAAAATATATTTTAGAATTTAAGGCTCAAAAATTAACTAATGGAAAATGTATTAGAGGAATTGACTCTTTTATCGCCTGACTGTGCTACAGTAGCCTGCATGTGCACAGCACTGTTGGAATGTGTTTCTGGAAAACACATCTTTGTGCTTTCCAAGAGTAAAATTGATCAAACAAAGTACATTGCAAGGAAGAAGATGTTTATAACTTAACTTTGGCCACTGTGGGCAAGCCCTCCCTCAGGGCATCTCCAAACCCTTGAAGAGGGGCAACTGGTGGCGTCTGGTTGGAAACTGGAATGTCTAGGGCTTAGCTCAGGTCTTGCTGGCCAAGAAGGAATCACACTCCCGTTGGTCTGCATTTTAATTTCCAGGTCAGGTTTGTATTGATACACGCTGGTTTTCCAGGCACCTCTGTGAATGTAGGGTATTTTGAGAGGTCACCCCTTTGATGCACGCTTTTAGGCAGAAGAGACTAAAATCTAAATTATTTTCAATTCCATGGAGATTAAAAGAGGAAATGGTTTTTGTCTGGCTTTTCTAGGTAGGGTTGGGGTTTTTTTGTACATCATGGGACGTTTCCAATACATTGGTGTTGTATGTTGTTTGCTCATCTTTTTGGTGGCTGCTGGCTGCCTCTTGTAACATGCCTTGTCCTTATGGATGCTCCCTCATCATCCCCAACTGGACTATGCCATTGGCTTCTACCTGGGCTTTTCTGGAGGGGAGAAACCAGCTGAGCTGTTTCAGACAGGGACCAGCTCTGCCACTGGGACAAGAGCGAATAAAAAAGCTTTTGCTGACTTACAGCAGGACCTGCGTGATCCTCGGTGTTTGCAAAGCAAACAGGTGGGTTGCAGAGCCCAGGGCTGGCAGTGCCGCATTCCTAGGACAGCCCTCCTGCCTTTCAGAAGGCTGCCAAGTAGACATGATCTCAGCTGGTGGACGCCTCCCCTAACAGGGCAGAAGGAAGACAGTAGGAGGGACTTCTTGGTTTTTAATAGCACAGATTATTAACAGGGGCATCCACTATTTTTTTTGCACCTCGACTTCTCAGCACCGTGTCAGTCGGGCAACTTCTGGCTTGGGATCCAGGTGCCTCACTCATACGTTGTTGCAGGGAATGTCATTCCCGGTTCGCTTTCCATGAAGAGGGCAGAGATGTAGGTCAGGTGTCCTCAGCCTTCAAAAAATCAACTCTCCTGCGCTTTATTGCTCTTGTCTTTGTTCTTTAATTTCCTTCGAATTTAAGTCCTGTGTTTCTAATCATCTGCCCCGGCTCAGTTATTTTGGATTTAAATCGAGATTATTTTAGGCTACTCTGAAATAAATGTGTGGGAATATCTGAATACACAGGACTAGAGGCATTATCAGCAAGAAATTGATTCATGGAGGTGATGGCCACACACAGGTAGTCTCAAAATTAGGTCCGTGCCTGAACACATACCTTTCTGTTGTATTTATTTACGCAGTTATTGCTTCCGGCGGTCACTCAGTGGTAAGGGAAGAAGATTTTAAATCACTCCTGTGGTTATGCAATTGCAAAAATAAAATATTTGCTCCATTCCAAGTTTGACTGAGACTTGGCTTCAGGTACGTCTATGTTGACTTTCAGGACAGTGACACCAGGGAAAACAAATAGACTTACCCACTGTCGCTGCAGGTACACAGGCTTGGAGGGGGAAGGCTGTGCCTTCTGCGTGGCCTATGGATAAATATGTTTTGGGACGTCCCGAAGGCAGCAGATAATGGGCAGATTAAGCACAGTCTCAGTTTTTAGCCCTTATTTGACAAAACATCGTTTTAACGTTCAGCAGTTTTGCCGCAGTTGGTGGCACAGATTTCAGCCGTATGGTCATTAAACCTCGAGCTAGAAGGGACCTACAGAGATTGTCATTAAGGCAGAGTCAACTGCATGTAACCGCTTCTGACCAAATTTCCCTCATTTGTCATTGAATTCTTTAGGGAAGAAGGTTCCCAGGAAGGTTTTTCCTAACGTTTAACATCATCCTGCTGTAGTTTGTAGCAGGCTTGTATATATACAACCCTTGAGGTTGTGTCGTATTGATTGGAAGACTATTGATTTGAACCCGAGGAACTCTTCTCTTTAAAAGAATAAATGTGCTTCTTTTGAGCTTTACATCTAATTCATGCTTTTTAGGGCCATAATCATTCTTGTTCCTTGCATGGCTCTCACCTCGTTGGAGGGATGCCCAAACCAGGCACATTAGTCCAACCTGGACCTTCCCCGGCTTAGGTGGAGCGGGACAAGATGGGGCAGCACTTTGCCACTACCGAACAGTGTCCCTTTTATCTCAGGGGACCACTGCAATTTGTAAAAATTAGTTTGAATTCCCTTGCTCTTCTCAGAAGCCCTCTCTGGCTTGATTTTAATAGGTGCAAAATTAGTTACATTCTTATAATTTCATAATCCAAGCCAAACCAAGGAAGTGGTTTATGGTCGCGTATCCTAGGCAAGACCTCCCTTGAAGTCCTTTCGGCTTCGTGGTGGCCACTAAAAGCTGAAGTTCTTTAAAATATGGAGATTAATTAAGACATACACATAAGAGCAAAGCCTGGTTTCAGCCTCATTTTACTGGGGCTAGGTAAGACCTTTTTATAATGGACAGTATGGCATTTTTCATTTTTTTATTTTGTGTTTTAAGAGAAATCCGGCCACTGATTATGAAGTGCAATCAAATATATTATAGCCTCTAGCCTGTTTTGTAAACAAAACCATTAGAGAATTAATTAGATGACAAGGGGAAAAAAAACCCACTGCAATTGTCTTCCAGTAGGCTGACAGATGCGTAATTCAGATATTTATTAGTGGAAATTTCCAGTGGCGTAGCTATCCTATTGTCCCAGCTATTGCGAAGTTTTTTTAGTAGAAAGATCCATCTTCTCTTTGAAATCTCGTTTTTGTTTGTAATCGTCAGGAGTCCTTTCGCCTCCTTCCTTTTGAGAGAACAGGCGGTATTGGGGCACCCAAGGCAGAGAAATGGAGATGTGAGGGAGGAGTTTGAAG